GTTCAGTCACATCCTTCTATGACATTCATTGCCTAAGACTCAACATGACTATAATATTCTAAGTATAGAGTCAAGTAAAGTATTATAAATTTGTGGATACTGTGTAAGTAGTCATTTATCTGTTTAAAAGGATATGTACCAGGACCATCTCTGATCTTAGAAGGCGATGCCTCAAAACAAGGAAAATGGTTCCACGTAAATCTCTGTAGGGCCATGTAAGCTGGAATTCTACCCCTCAGCCACTTTCTCTGGTGACCTGCAGAGACAATACTGCAGAAGCTGCTGGCAGATCCTTTGATTTCCACTTATTGCTAATAAATTCTCTGCCTAAAAGTCCACACTCATGTGAGTTGAATTTGTGACTAAACTTCATTAGTGAAAGACTGTCTGAACCCAGGGAGGATTCTTTTATTTTTGTAAGAGTTCTTGATCTGTGCTTCTCATAGGCTGTCCTATTCAAGCATCCTAGAACCTAGGCATAGAACTTGGGGCTGTCTTAGGTAACTTAGCTCAGTCAATATCATGCAACCAATAGGTAGCTTTTGACTATGTCAAGGCATTGTGGAGAATGAGATACGTTACTATGACATCAAAAAGGCTTTATATTCCAGCAGAAAGTCTAAGCGTGTTTCTGGCTCATGTTAGCTAAATGCCGGACTCCGATATTCTGTTGAGTCATACTGTTCAATTTGTTTCATGTATATGGCCTTTAGGGTACTGTTTATAGAGAAATGAGATGGAAACATAGATAATTCATGTTTATTATCTTTAAACAGGCATGTCATATAACAGGTGAAGAAAACCAAATTTGAGAGAGGACTCTGTGCCCTGTGTTTCTGGTTGGCTCAACACGGGGAAGCAGCGCCACCTTGAGGCAGAAGCCGAATCTCTGCCTGCGCCCCAGATCTATGCATCTTGACAAGCGCAGAGGCATCCCCGTTTTAATATCCTGGGGTTTTCATATTTTACCAATGACATTGACTGTGGTGGAGTGGGGTTGAAGTGGGAAAAGTATAGGATAAACCTTGTTTAGGAGCATCCCTTTCTGAAATGTTCAGAGCACACTCTATGTGCCTTTTCGTTGGGCTTATCTTCCCATTCCCACTATTTCCAATCACTTTGGTATTTGTTTCTGTACTTCTTTGTAAGGTGAAGTTACTTGTAAATCTAAAGTGTATTAAAATATTGACCTATCTTAGATATAAGGTTAGTTTCTCAATTGCTGGCCAAAGCGATCTATAGAAATGAAGCCAGCATTTAGAGTTTAAAAATTAGGTATTTAAAGATTTGAGTCAATCAGAGAACTGTGGGAGGGCATTAAACTGATCTGAGTACCATTTAATTAGTAGAAACGACTGATTCCTTCGGCATGAGTGTCAGGTAAACTAATTGGAAAAATGTGGCAGAGGAAATAGAGCCAGGAAGAAAAGACATGCAGCAGATGTAGGGGCTGGACAGAGAAAGAAAAAGGAGAATTGAATTAGGGAAAGGAAAGGACACAAAGCAATTGAAAACAAGAAGCGGAAAAGGTACAGGCAGACAATAGCAGGTTAGAACTCACTCAAACCCACAAAACCCCAACCACGTGGCTGGCTGGGATGCAATAAAAAGTATTGTGCACAAAGAGCAAATACTTGTTTGGGGGCTGGTGCACGGTTAAGAGGTTGGTTAGCTTGGTTCCTTAGCCAGTTATTTCAGGGATTTCCCATTTCCCAGGATTCCCCCTGCAAATAGTCTGGTAGTCCGCTGACTTCAAACCAGAACATGTCTGCACTAAAGAAGCGTGGCCGGAACTAGGCTTTCAATTTGGGGCAGCTCCTCAATGAAGCCCCATAAAATTATATTCATTATGGCCAAAATGATTCTTAGGAATTCAATTAAGTACGCTATTATAAATTATGACCAACAGTTGACTTTGACTAATGAGAGAGTGCAGCTCTGGTTCTTGCTAATTATGCAATTATGGCAAAACCAATTAAAATAGATATCAGTTAAAATATTAAAAAATCGTCGTTGAGGTTGTGTGTGCTGCTAAGCATGCCTCTTGCTGTAGCGCCTCTCGATGTCATTCTCCCCACCTCTGTGTCTGTCAACTTTCACCTACCTGAAGGGCACCTGAGTGGATTTTATGACAGTAGCTCATGAGGAATCAAGGTTTGGCATTTAAGAAATCCAATCCTTTCTGTCTTGGAGACATCTCTATTCCCCTATCACAGGACTTAAGACAGAAGTGTGATATATCCTTGGTCAGGGTGACATGAATTTTTTTGGTTCTGGTGCCTATAAAATGTGACCTTTTACATATTGACACTTCAGTTCTGAAGATAAAATGAGGTAGACATATAGACAATACTTCATAAAGGGTGGTTTGTGTTTTAATCCATCTATTCTCACTCAACTCAGAATCTTGCTTTGAAAATAAAAGCCATGTTACCATATGCTGGTGATACCTTTTTTTTTTTTAAATCTGTTGTGTTAAAAAAAAAAATCTGTTGTGTTTATTTCATAAACTCGTGTAACTCTGGGCCCCCATGGGCAGGACTACGATTGTGGTTTCAATAACAGACTATAATGTTAAATTAATTCTGTAACAGACATTTTAAGAAGTGGCCATTCTTAAATGAAATTGTTCATCCCCATTTATTGTAAGTGAAGGTCCATCTAATTTGATGCTTTTCTTCGTGTAAAATTAATTTCCCCATTTTTTCGCTATTATAAAAAGGGTGAGGGCCCTCCCTGGTGGCGCAGCGGGTTGGAGCACAGCACTGAGAGTCTGAAGCCACTTCCGCATGAGTTCGATTCCCGCCTGCCGCCTGCCCCGGAGGAGACCACATGGCGAGCCAGACCTCTCCTGGCCCGCCCGCTGCTCCCCTCAGCGGTGTGCTTCGTCGATCTGCCTGTTCTGCTCCCCACTCTGTCTCTGGTGAAGCCTCTCACCGCCCCTGAGCCTCTGGCCTGTACCCCAGTTCTGTATGAATGGATGAATAAATCTTTAAAAAAAAAAAAAAAATGGAATTGCTAGGTCACATGGTAACTCTTCAAAAAAAAAAAAAAAAAAAAAAAAGGGTGAGATTGTGACCAGTGTCTGTTACAGGCAAAAAAGTTTTTCATAGCCTCCTACTTTCTCAAATCTCCCATGGAGATACTTTATCAAAGCCTACTTCTTTTAAAAAATCTCATTTCTATTATCTTACTGTGTGTTAAGAGAAAATTACACCTATTGTAATGTTCTCCTTGGCCCATGTTAGCTGGAACTAGTCTTTTCCTGCTCCTGCAAGGTCCATTTTAGATTTCTCAGTTGACTCTAGTTTACCTGATTTTGCTGTTCCCCTGACACTAACTTCACTTACAGTCAAATACTAAATTGTATGCTTATATCTTCTTCCCCAGTTAGACTAAAAGCCACTGTGAGTAAGGTTAAGACATTGGTCTTCTAAGGATGTCCATGGTCCTGTGGAACACAGAAAATGTTTAAAAAAATAACTTTTGTTACCACAGGGCAACTTCTCCTTCATCCATGGATTTTCTTAGACATCACATGTGCCCTCATGTTAGACATCACATGTATGTTACCTACATGGTGTTATCTCATGACCAAGAGTCTGCTTTTAAATGGTGGCAAAAAATTAAACAGAAATGACTCATGTAAAACCACTGAGATTAATGAATGGGAGGTAAAGAATTTTTATACCGAAGTACCCCTGAAAATTTAGTTCTCATTTCCAGTTAATTCTGACTATTCCAGTTTCCACTGAGATAGTATCGTTCATGGTTAAAAGAACCCGGCTAATATTTGGCCAAAATACATCAGTTGATGCCTGTTGACATCCGTTCCGATTCTATCCTTATGCTACACTAACAGTGACTTATTTTCACTCTCTCCAAATGCAGATGATAGAATGACCAATTTTGAGCATACCCATTTTTCTAACTATAAAACAAGATCAGGAACTTTCCCTAAGGTCATGAAAATGATGGTTAAGAAGGCTTTGATGAAAAAGCACTGCCGGGCCTCCCTGATGGTGTAAGGGTTAAGTCTCAGGGCTATTAAGGTATGGCCAGCCCCAGGGGTTCAATCTCTAGGCAGGGATATAACCCATGTGGCACAGACCTCTTCTGTCTCGCCTGCTACTGCCCTCAGCAGTGTATTTCAGAAGATCCACCTGTTCTTTCTGCTCCTCACTCTTTGGTAAATCCTCTCACCCCCTGCACTTCTGGCCTACACCCCAGTTCTTGTATGCATAAATAAACCTTTAAAAAAATAAGAAAAAGTACTGCAATTGTCACTTTTGTTGTGTTTCAAATTTGTAAGTGGCTTTTAAAGTTGTAAGTGGTTATACCTACTTAATTATCTTTAGTTACTAGTGCTTTACATCTTTTAAGTCAGAGTCCTCTGAATTGCCTCTAAGTTTCCAGAGCTTGAAAGCAGAATTGTAGTTATTGCAGGAAAACTGAGAGGGAAGGATAAGAAACAGATGTGAGATGTAAAGATATAAATAGTTTGGAAGCTGGGAGATGACAGCAGCCACTAGGCTGATCTGCACTTTGCTGTCTAGGTCTCTGGGCAGTGAGCCTAGAGCGCCTCAGCGGGCGCTAGAGACCCACAAGAACGCTTCAGCAGACTCCCACACCACCAGCAAGCCTCTCCTTTACTACCTTATATTTGAACAGTCATTTGCAAACCTTCTAACCCCAATTAATTCTTGTCAAAGTACAAGAACCTGCAAATCAAACAGGAAATCTTTCCTTTCACTTAACTACACATTCTTAAGTGTTAAAGTAAGACAAAACAAATTATTCAACACTGACGTTTTATTTCTGAACTTTATCATGTTTACAAAACAAAAAGCAGGTATCAAAAACAGCCAGTTTACAGAATTTCTGCACTCGTTTTCACATTGATTATGAAACTGGTGTCCAATCTAGTATTAAACCCAGGTATGTCCTTCTGGGTCATATTCATTCAGGTGGTTTGTTTTGGAGCTACTACTGAGTAATAATTTTTTTATAAGCACCGGTCATTTTTGAGAACTGATATGGTCTGTCCTACAAAGTAAACACTTTTTGCTGTTGGCATTTTCTTTTTTTTAAAAAAACACTGAGCTTTAAAATACAGAATGTGTATATCTGGATCTGAATCTTTTGCGATCCCAATTACCCCGAAGAACACTGAAGACCTTGATAGGGCATATTAAATACTAGTAATATAACTCATTACATCTAAGGCAGTCACTATATTTCTAAAGAAAATAGCATTTCATTCAGAGGCTGCCCAGAGTTTGAATTCTATCACTATTTCCATGTGCTTTCTTGATATGGAGCAGTTCCCCTTAATGGCCCATGTGATTGGAATGTAAGTTTTATATTTATGCCAAACAGGCTCTGGTAGTTTAGAGATATATCAAGCAGAGCAAAACACATTGCTCTGGAACCTGGGAGACCACAGGAAATTGAGAAGTCATGATTATTGGATGCTGAGAGGAAGAAGCATATTTGAAACTCACATAATTGGGAGGCTAGCAAGTCAGAACCTGGCAAAGTGCTCATGGATCACCTGCTCCAGAAGCACATTTCATCTAAACATGGGAAGTATGGTCCAGTTTTGCAATGTAAATAGCTGCCAGTCTCTCCAACAGATTTTTTATCAAGATCATTTCCTGGCTAGCAAAGACTTAGGAAACTGGTCTCAAAATTCTGACCAAATTTCTATTAGTGAAAAACAAAACAAAAACAATTACGACAAAAACCAAACCTAATCCCCCAAGACACCAGTCACAGGGGTCGGTTAAAAAATTGCACAATTAAATTTGATGTAAATTATATTACATACAGACTGATATACACATCATTGCAATACTTTTGAGAACATGAAACACCCCTGTTGGAATATTTTCTCTAAATTATCCCAATTTTCATCAAAGCAAAACCGTTATGCCATTTTCTTCTTTACAAATAGGAAAAAGGAAGAAACAAGAAGGCAAAGCTGAGACATACAGATGCTACCCAAAGGGCAGTGGTGGCATTTGGTTGTTTTGGTCTTTGTACCAGCAACTCCCACACCCACAGAGATAACCAGCTTTAGACTGGATTACACAGTTTTCCTTGCGGTCAAAACCCGAACAATGGACCCTACTCCTCCTGCAGCAAGTGCCTAAAAGGAAAACAAAATGTAATTGTTGCCAATTAGAATCAGTTCTTGTACCAACTAAAACATTTTTCTTAGAAAGTGTGTAGCTGTTGATTTTGGATTATTTTTTGCAAATAGTTTTGAGCTCCTCTTATGGACCAGGCAAATGGCCTTTGCACTGGCATTATAGTGAGAAACCAAACCTTTAGAATCCTTTCCCTCATGCACCTACATTCTGGTGGAACCTTAACATACTCTGGTGAGTGTGTTGTTTTCTAGTAACAGTATGTTCTTAAAGATCTCCTGCAAAATGTTCTCTAAAACAGGTGCTCAAATATTAACTTAGAACATTCATTCTGCTTCTCTCATTCTCAGCATGCCAGGAGAAAATGAAATTAGAATCAACCATCCTAAATTCCATTTAGATTATTCAGAGTTTCTTCTCCCAAAGCTAAGAATATAGTCTTCAATGGCTAAGAATCTAGAAGCTTTGACTACACTGAAAAACTGGAAGTCATGATTAAAGTGTAGGAATCTGAAGCGCTGGTTTAATTTTGTTCAAAAAACACCGAGTACTTCATGTCCTGGGGTACTCTGTGCTCACAACTGAGGATAGGAGAGTGAGTGACTACAGCATTTATCAGCTTAACAGGAAGAGATAGACGTAAGTAGGTAATTTCAATATAATGTGATATGACAGAGCTATGCTTTTGGTGTTATAAAAGCAGAGGGGCCCTCCCCGGTGGCATAGTGGGTTAAAGCACAGCACTGAGAAGCTAAAGCCACTTCCGCATGAGTTCGATCCCCGCCCCGGAGGTGACCACATGGCGTGGCAGACCTCTCCTGACCTGCCTGCTGCTCCCCTCAGCAGTGTACTTGGTCACTTGGCCTGTTCTGTTCCCGGGTCTGTGTCTGGTGAATCCTCTCACCGTCCCTGCACCTCACCTCTGGCCTGTACCCCAGTTCTATATGCATAAATAAATAAATCTTTAAAAAAAAAAAAAGCACTGAGGAGAGGGGCACATATTCAACCTAAGCGTTTAGGGGAATGTGGAATGGTCAGGTAAAGCTTCCTGGAGAAAATGATACATTAAATGGATAAACAGGTGACAGGCTGATACTAAAGGGTGAAGAGGCCCTCAGGTAGAGAAAATTGTGAGCAAAGGTATGGAGGTATGAATTTGTAGAGGAGTTTAGAGGAAAAAGTTGGCAGTGCTAGAGCAAAAGAGGACGAATGGAAGATACTGCTGGGCTTGGAATTTGGACTTCATTCTGCAGGTGACTGACAGGAAGACTTGGATTTTGGAGAGAACATTCTGGCAATTGGATGGAAAAAGGTTTTGAATGAGGAAAAACCAGTAACCAGGAGACCAATTTAGGAAGCTATAACAACAGAGTGGGTGAGATGTTATGAACAGTTGTACTTGAACAGTATGAGGATCATCTGAGAAGTATTTAGGAGACGGGAATGGCAAAAACCCATGCTGTTAAGAAACAAACACCTAACATGTGCCCCAATTTACCCATTTACACCAGAGGAATATAGTAAGCTTTCCTCCTAAGAGGACTGAGTAAATACTTATGAAGTGTTTGTTATAATCCTGAGGCTACTTAGGTTTGAAAGCTGGTTGTCCATGTATAAACTGAGGTGATCAAGATGTACTGAGGACTAAATGAAACGTAAACTAATAGTACAGTGCCTAGCAAATAAGTGTCCCAAGAACAGGATGGCCATAAAAATTAATTCTCCAAATCGGCAGGCTGTAGAGTAAAAGGAAAACTAACTCATAATTATGTTGGGACAACAGGTATGCACTAGGGCTGTCTTAGGGAAACTGGGAGGTATGGTTTCCCTGCATCTGTATGTTAGGTCTTTTAAAAGTTTTTTTCATAGAACTGGGGTGTAGGCCAGAGGTGCAGTGGCAGGGAGTTGAGAGGAGTCACCAGAGATACAGTGGGGAACAGAATGGGCTCTCTTGCAAAGGGGAGCGAGCAACAGGTGAGATAGGAGAGGTCTTCTGTGTCATGTGAGTCAGCTCCTTGTTCTGAGATGGAACTCAGGCTGTAGAGGTGACACTTAACCCTATGCTACCAGGGAGGCCTGCAGTCCTGTCTTTGTAATAACATACTTAAGCAAGAAGTCAAAACAGTTATTTCAGTTCCTATTATAAAGGAACCAGTCATGTAGCTTTATAATCCATAACTTACCTTTTCATGCCACTGTAGTAACACAGCACTGCTATTGTCAGAGGGACTCTCAAAGCCTTTATAAATATACTTCATTAAGAGATCCACTCCACTCTTGTCCAGGGATTGAACTGCCTTTTCAATATCATTAGCTTTAAAGGAAATGAGGACCTTCAAAACAATGCTGCCCGCTCGATCCTGAGGGTAAATAAACAACAGAACATTTAGACCTGGATGGGGATGTAAGATTAAGTAATTTTATAAAGGTCACACTGAGGTGACACTGAATAAAGAGGTTACATGGAGGGAAGAGCACAAGGGACTATGTGATAATTCACATGTGCTGTGGTGGTGGGAAAGTTAGGGGGACTACACCTGAGGGGAGAAATCAAATATTGTACAAAAATGAACAACAATGTAAGAAAATTAAGAAGAAAATTACCTAAACTTAAGAAAATTGAAAATGATGATCTGTAAAAACAAAAAAGGAGGTAAGAACATGAAAAAGGAACCTTGCGAATATCTGAGTTAAGTAGCTCAGAGAAAAGTACAAGTGCTGTTAGTGTGGGTTACAGGAATAGCAAATGGACCCAAGGTGGTGGGGTCAGAATGGAGGAAACACAGCAGAGGAGGACGCTGGAGAAGTAACTCAACAACAGAGCCCGGGAGGCCATCTTTTACTCAGAGAAATGAGATGTTGGAAGGTTTTCAGAAGAGCAGTCTCATGATCTATCTATTAATGGAATGCCTTTGCCTGCTATGTTGAGAATTAGCTGGGGGCTGACGGGTAGGTAAGTAATGGACAGAGCAGGAGGAGACCACTCAGTGAATTACTACTATTTATTACTACTATGCTGGTTTGGCCAGGATGATAATATGGAGCAATGCAGGAGGGCAGAGAAGGACAGATTCTGCCATATTTAATAATGGTAGGGGTGAAGAATTTGCTAACAGAGATATGATCATTTACCAGTTCATTAAATCAAAATCTACTTCTTGATCTGAAAAAGAAATCCCAGGAAGGAAATTGAATTTTAGTTTTACCTTAAGCCATCCTTCAGAAATAAGTTATTAATAAAATTTTTAGTTTTAAGGATACTTTCAGTATCATATTTATAGTCAGTGACCACAGATGAGATACAGTAACCTTCATTTATAATCATTTATTTCCCTTGGTAAAGGCTGCAACAAAAGTAATTTTATCCATTAAGCCAAGCAAAGGGTACGCCTAAATTTACCCTTTGAACAACTTGTTTTTCCTACTGAAGACAAAGTGCTGCCTTTAGCATTCCTATTGGTCAATATTTCACAGAATGTTTCTGCCACCTATTGTTCTCTTCAGTTTAAAGTCTGTGCAATTTCCCAATTTAGAAAACATCCTGATATTTAGAACTATCAACTCCCACCTACAAACTGTGATTAAAAACCATCCATATAAAAAGCAGGTTGTAAAATCAAAATTTTGATATTCCTCATAACTTTTAAAAGCCAAAGAAGTTTTCCCCTTATAGAAAGCAGAGCCTTGATAAATACTATGCGTTTATCTACATTTCACTTATTACTATTCAATTAAGGAAATCAATTGAATATCAATACTATTCAATTAAGGGTTCCTTAGAGGTATGGTTTGCTATCAATAGCAGGGTCACTACTTTGGGCTTCCTTAACAATAAATAACTTAAGCAAATAGGTCCTTAAGAATCAGTGAAGGGAATCTTAGTTAAACAAATCTCTGGAGGGCAAGTTGGCTACCATCTGTACCAAAAGCCTACAAATTATGTAATTTAAACTCCAGAGATTCACTGCTAGGTATCTATTCAAAGGAAATATTTATTTACTAAAAATTGTTCATATCGGCCCTCCCTGGTGGTGCAGCGGGTTAAAGCACAGCCCTGAGAAGCTAAAGCTACTTTCCCATGAGTTTGATTCCCGCCTGCCCAGGAGGTGACCACATGGCGTGGCAGACCTTTCCTGACACCCGCCCACTGCTCCCCTCAGCAGTGTACTTCCTTGATCTGCCTGTTCTGCTCCCCACGCTGTCTCTGGTGAAACCTCTCATCGCCCCTGCACCTCTGGCCTGTACGCCAGTTCTGTATGCAAATAAATAAATCTTTAAAAAAAAAAAAAAATGTTCATATCACTACTGTTTACAACAGGAAAGAAAATGGTTAATAATCCAAATATATGACAATAGATAACACATATAAAATAGCCCATCATTTGACACAGAGTGTCTAATATGTAGTGGTACATAACTTTATGTGAGAGCTATTTTTTTATATTCAAATTTCTACCGATCAAGCTACACTGTAAGCTCTGCTATGTCAAAGTTAAATTACTGTTGACTGTATGAAAAGCGAGGGGACTCTGGTAATGATATTAAAACATCAAGAGAGATCATTGCATTATTTGTGACTTACCTTTACTGCTTGACTCTTGGTGTTGATAGGGGGGTTTTTCAGAGCTGCCTGTAGGGCTGCTGTCATGTTTCCTGTGAGAGAGGTTAAGGGAATAGCAGCAAAGGGCAGACTCTGGAAACCACTATAACAACCAGGAATCAACGGTTCTTAAAGACTTGACTTTAAGGATAAAAATAAAAACTACTATCCCTATATGCTCATTATTGGAAAATACACTTTGCTGGTTTTAAGGATGTCAATCAAAGCTAAAATAATCAAAGAGAACATTACAATTTTCTTAAAAAAGCAAAGACTATTTCAATGAACACCTTGATAATGTTACATTTTCTAGTAAGTCAAACATTACAATTTTCTTAAAAAAGTAAAGACTATTTCAATGAACACCTTGATAATCTTATATTTTCTAGTAAGACAAATACACAAACTTTATCCAGAGTAATATTAAAAAACAAACTCCAAAATAAAAGTTTATACATCAGCTAAAATGTCTTTTATATGTGACTCTAAGTGGAAAAATAAATACCACGCTTTTACTAGAATTATGTTCCAGATTAACTGGAATGTTGGTAGATTAGCAATTTGAATAATATATATTAGCAATTTCTCAGTTTTGGTGAAAAGAGGTATTACAAACGATAATAGTTTAATAACCTCTTAATTTTTAATAACCAGCTTAATTTTTCAGTTTTGAATGTTTTCTCTCAAATTTCATATAAGTTATTCAAACTGTCTTAGATCATGCCTATTACATTTAGTTTCTCTGAATGCACCAGCAAGTTAGCAAGTAGGAGACAGAGGCCAATCAGATTGTTAGAATGTACAATCATTTCCCTAAAAGGAAAACAACAGTTCTCACCAGTTCTTCCATCTCTAGTGCTAGTCTCTTCTTTAAGAATAGATAATATCTTTATATTTTAAAATGAATTGATCAAATAACAAATCCACTAAAAGGGTACAGCAGTATGGTGGTAGTCATTACACATTACTTAAATAAGCTAATCCACAAAACATAAATATAGCAGAAGGAAATGTCTTCAGATAGAATAATGTTCACCTTCTCATTGTCTGGAGAAAAAGGTATACAAAGAACCCTGTGATTGGCAAGCTGTTGTTTTCAAGGCATGATGGACTTCCAGAGAAGCATGCCTTTTGCAGAACTGCTCGTTTTTTTAAGACCTCAAACACTAACAAAGTGTTTAAATAATGCAAAATTACAACGTAGAGTTGTGAAATCAAAGAAACAAATGTACATGGATGTTTGATGTTGTGTTTTAGTTTCTTTTAAACCCGATACAGTGGCTACCACTAACTCACTAAAATTTAACAGGACAATAAGGAAAGATTTGCAAAAGTCTTCCTGTTTTATGTGCAATCCAAGAATAATTCGAAACGAGTGATTCAGTAATTGTTAATCTCTATAGTTTGCAACAAATTCATTTTTCAATAAAGGACCTAATGCACATAAATCACTCAGCCATGAATATTCAGTCATGCAAAAAAACACCACCAACCAGGAACTGACAGCTACATTTCAACTAAAATGGAAACGATTTCAAGATTCCAAAAATGATTCTGTTTTGTACAAATGACTCATCTTTTTGTTCACGGGTTTATTATAAACATTTCCAAGGATTCTCCACTTGCATTGCCTGTCTGTCCTTTTCTTAAAAGCCAAAGGTTCCAAGCTTCCTTTTAGAAGCTTATCGGTTGTTTACACTCACTCCCTAACCCCCGGGCTAACAAATTCTCTTGCAACCCATATTTCACCAAATACCTTCCTCTTTTTTTTTTTCTAAATGCCCACTGGCTGAAAGGACAGTGGGCCTCAATCCTGCAATCGCCCATCTCTTCCGGGAAGGAATAACTAGCCTAATATTGCCCAAAAAGAATACAACAACAAAAACCAAAATCACTAGAAAAAGACGCAAGCTCCTCTCAATCGGAAATTTCTGGAGCTGACGCGACCCCAGTAAATAACGCTCCGGGTGAAAACTTCCGCGCCCGGCTGTCCAGCACCTATTCCCACTGCCCAGCCCCGCGCTCCCCAAGCCGAGGGCGCGGCCGCAAAGCCAGGTGCCGGAAGGCGCCACCGAGGGACTGGGAGAGGCAAAAGTCCGCGGCGGGACGCGGGGGCTCCCGGCGACTCCGAGAGAAACGGGGACGCCCCCCGCCCTCTCGGAGTGGGGGGCTCCCGAGGCGACGGTGGCCCGGGCAGCGCGGCGCCGCCCCGCGGGAGGGCCCGCGCTCCGGCGGCCGCGGGGTCCTGGAGGAGACCCCGCGGGGTGGGGGAGTGCCAACTCAAGGATATTGCCGCAAGCAGGAATCCACCTCGCCCTCGTCCGGCCCGGCCTGCCCGTCGCCGCCGTCTTCCTCATCGACGAACTTGTTCTCGTCATACTCATCTACGTCCACCTTCCGGAACCGAGCCGACGACACCGTGTTCTTGGACATCCCGGAGCCGCGCGGACAACTAGGACCTCCTTCCGATGCAGCGTCTCTCAGGTAGCCCAGCCCGGCAGGACCTAGCGGCTGGAGCCCTCACTTCCCTCTTCCGCGCTGGGCGTTGCCGGCAGCCGCGACGCGAGAGGTTCTGCGCTTGCGCGCTGGAGGCATTCCTTCCTCCTCAAGTTCGCGCGCTCCGCGAGCCTCCTACGCCACCCCCGCGCCTTACCAAGGGACGCAGTGCGCAGGCGCAGACTCTCTGCAGGAAAGGGGCGGAGCCGGGCGAAGGAGGCGGGGGCGGGAGGAGGTGGGACAGGAGAGAGGGGAGCGTGCGGAGCCGCGGACGGAGGTAAGAGGCAATTGGGTGCCTGAGGGAATCACGTGTTCATTAGGGGGTTTCCATAGAAACGCTTCTTTGCGGTCGAGTCTAGCCGGGGGTCTTAGGTTGGCGGCGGTGGGCACTGGAAGTGGGTGGTTTGCCTTTTGCTGCCGCCGCCGCCAACAACCTGCCAACCGGGTCCTGCGTTAAGGTCCGGCTGGTTGGGGCTCATCTGTGGGGCGGGATGGACTGGTTGCCCTACCCAATCCCCTGCAGTTGGCAGGAGTGTGAGGCGGAGTGATGCACGCCCCGGCGCCCAGCAGCGTTCTAGTTGTCAGAGACATCGTTTCGGACTCTGCTGCGGGTGCCTGCATTCTCCAGTCGGGAGTCCCTTTCCCAAGATTGGAACTGCGCTGTGCGGCCAGCGGGAGGTCCCCGAGGACGGAGTCTAAAGGTCAAATCTTACCTGTCAGTGCTGTGTGACAGCATCGCAACGGCACCTGCAAAACCTGAACTAGGTATCACGTCCACTGTGAGGGAGGGGGAGGTGTCTGGGTAGGGATTGAAGTAGGAGGCAAAACTGGGGTGAACCTGTGGAATTTAGGATAGGGTCATTCATTGACATCTTAAAATAAGTGATTGTTTGCAGCAAGAAGGCTAGACCAGCATGGGGATGAGCTATGCTCGCTGGTGCTCAGGGCAAGCAAAATGTGCAAGGATTAGTAGAAACCAGACTTTAAGACTATCTGATCCCTCTAGGCCATTTCTGAAAGCAAAGCTCATATTGAGGAGGTAAAGGCGCTAACATTCAGGAAATGGCAGTTGTATTTAGTTTGTGTTATACTGAAGTACAAATATTTGCAGAATAAAATTAATTTAGACGTTTGACTGGACACTGTGGTCAGATGGCTCTGTTTTCCTGATATCCTATCAGATCTAGTTTAATTCCAGCTCCAGCAGAAGGCTGGCTGTTGGCCTGTTGAGTATCCCAATCCTTGGTTTCCTGTGCTGTGTTGAAAAGAGCCCTTCGAATGAGCAAACCCTGGCTTGAGTTGAACCCTTTCACTCATATTCTATTTGATTGAGGCATGCCACTTCAAATTGTGAATCTCAGGTACCTCATTGCTAAATGTGTACTTGACAAAATTACTCTGAGGATAAAATACAAGAAAGTGTCTTGAAGCTCTAAGATTACAAATAAATGTAAATTGCATGTTACCCATACCATTGATTTTTAGTCTTATGTCTTATGCATTCCTTGTGTTGTATTTTTATCTTGCCTCTGAAAGAGCACAGGGCTCTCTAAGGCAGAGATTGTCTTATAGTTCTTTTGTATTGCATCTGATATAAAGCTAAGCATGTAGAAGGTATTCAATGCATTCAAGTATTCAATTTTTATTAATAAGTGAATAAAATGTGAAAGATGGTACAGTTTAAGAGTCACACTGAGAATAATGAATCAATAATGAGAGATCTCAAAATCAGATCCAACATATGTCTAAGTATATCTATGTCTATATCTGTATCTATATTTTTATATCTATAAAGGGAGACACCCAGGGATGATGGAATACAGGAAGGCATCTTTTTTCCTAGGGAGGAAAAGACAGTAAGTATTTGTTCCCAACTAAATTACCCTTCTAAAAGAGTTGTCAGGGGATAGAATTGATATTTTTTAGTTAACACTCAAGTTATGAGCAGAATGCAGGAATACTTCCTTGGGGGGGGGGAGGAGGGAGGAAAAGGCAATAATTATTTTTTCCTACTTAAAACACCCTTATAAAAGATTTATTATTTAGGGAATGAAACTGGCATTTCTTTAAATTAACATTCAAGTTACGAGCAATGCTCAAATACTCATGGACTGTCTTAAGACAGCACAGGAAATTTTCAGGAAGACTTACCTGTTGGTAATATTTAAAAAGCCATATGCCAAAGTATCAGATTGTTACCATGGTGAATGTATTATATAACTTAGAATAAAGATTTGCTTTAATATTTCTTTTATTTCTAATCTTTGGCTAATTTTAGTGAGAGCTAAACAACATACTTTTTTTAGATGTTAAAGAGGATTGTGCTTTTGTTCTTCCAAATCATGATTCTCTTTGAAGAGAAAAATTGAACATTGTGAGCACTTTGAGAACAAATGGAAACAAGAATTCAAGAACTAATACATTCCTTCTCTTTACTATTCTTTTGTATTAGGTCTTATTTAGGAACTTTCCTCATTCATTTATTTTACAACTGGAAAAGAATACTAGGGTAGATGTCAACTTAAAGAAATAGTGAGGGAAATTTAAAAGATTGAGTTGTTTTAAGGGTATAATTGTTTTAATTGTTAAGAATTTTGCTCTCTATATTGGATGTTAAATATAATTAACTCAGCCTCATTAGTATGTTACATTTGAGCTGGAATAAGGTAAAAAATGTCTTTTTCTGATATTTAAAAAAATTGTATTGCAATTAGTATTTAGTACAGAGTAGGTACTCAGGACATTTCTAGCCAATAAATTGATAATCTGAGGATTTTGAAGTCACATTTAGAAACTGAGTTTTTTAATGGACAAATGACCTTCCTACTTCATTAACAAATAGTTAAATCTTTATAAAGCTTTAGGGAAATAGTGTGTGTGTTTGCGTCTCTGTGTGTAGAAACCTGTACTTAATAATCTATTAGAAAATACACATTATTTCACTTGCAAATTCCAAATTTTTAATGTTAATGATGGAAACTCATAACTCATTGTATGTAATGTTATTTTAAAAAAAAATTCCAAATAGGTTCTTTTCCCTGAAATAAAGGATCCATGAGGCTTTAAAATATTCTACTGTACAAATCTGGTTTGTTGCAATACTAAAGTGAGACTGAATTGAATTTTCTCAAGGTTAATGTTGCATGACTATATGCAGGTCCTTGTTTTCTGTGATGATGCAGATTAAGGGTATTTTCAACTAGGCTTTTGATAAAGTTCCCATAATAGGTCTTTCTTTTCAGATACTTTAAAACTAGTAGTCAACCAACAGAGCTTCTTTTCCCCAAACTTGTCACTCTTAAAAAACAAACCAAGGCATTGAATCCTGCATCATGGCACTGTTGTTTTTATTATTTAAAATGGAAGTGAAATCCATATTAATGAGATATGGTCAACATAGAAATAGAAAATGAATAAATATCAGTTCTGGTAATGATGGTTTAATACAACTGTTCTCTAGCAACGCAACTGTTACTTTATACAAAGACATTTTAGCTTGTTATCCACAGACTATTCTATGGTTTAATACTGCTATATAGTATCCAGATCAACTGGTTTTGTATTGAAGCAACAAACCTTCAAAAATTCAAGTTTTTCATTGTGATTAATTTTAGTTTTATATAACATTATGATTATGTAGTGAGGTAGCGCAAACAGGGTGAACTATTATAGAGCGGGACCTTACTTAATATATAATTTAAGTATACACACACATACACACAAATATATGTATATATGTACTTACAAGATTTTAATAGGTTTTTAATCTGTACTTTTTTTTTTTAAAGATTTTATTTATTTATGCATACAGAAATGGGGTACAGGCCAGAAGTGCAGAAACGGCAAGGGGATTTATCAGAAACAGAATAGGAAACAGAATAGGGAGCAGAACAGGCAGACTGACAAAGTACACTGCTGAGGGGAGCAGTGGTCGAAGCAGCAGAGGTCTGCTGTACCATGTGGATCACCTCCGGGTGGGGATGGAATTGGGTACTGAAGTGGACATGGCTTGACTGAGCAGTGCTGTGGTCTAACCCACTGTATCACCTGGGAGGGCCCGTTAATCTGTACTCTTATCTCAAAAGAGTTTAAGGTTAAATGAAAGAATTAGCCTTGTGAATGGTACTCCTTTTTTATTTAATTTTAAAAATCTGCTTATGTTAATATACATAGGGAAGCTATGGTTTTTAAAATTTATTTCTTGTATTCTTTCCCATTACTGGAATCTCTAATTATTACTAGCAGTTGTTTTAATGTTATACTTCTTGTCACAGTATGCAATCATAATATTTGAATAGGTAACTATATTTTCCATCTTTTTCAATATTTATATCACTTTTATTTTTTCTTTTCTTATTGCATTTGCTAGACTCTAGAAATTGTTAAAAAATTTGGTGTTAGTAGTTCCTCTTTGTTTCTATTTTTTAAAAAAAATTTTATTTAGGGGCCCTCCCTGGTGGTGCAGCTAGTTAAAGACAGCACTAAGAAGCTAAAGCCACTTCAGCACGAGTTCAGACTCTGCCTGGGAGGTGATCCACATGGCACAGCAGACCTCTCCTGACCCACCCCCTGCTCCCCTCAGCAGTGTAGTTCATCAGTTGGCCTCTTCTGCTCCCCACTCTGTCTGGTGACTCCTCTTACCACCCCTGTGCTTCTGGCCTGTACCCCAGTTCTGTATGCATAAATATATAAATCTTTAAAAATTTATTTATTTACTTATACATACAAAACTGGGGTACAGGCCAGAGATGCAGGGACTGTGAGATGATTCACCAGAAACAGAGTTGGGAGCAGAACAGGCAGATTTACAAGGTACACTGCTGAGGGGAGCAGCGGGAGGGTCAGGAGAGGTCTGCCACGCCATGTGTTTCACCTCAGGGTCTGGAGATCGAACTGGCACTGAAGCAGCTACAGCTAGTTTACAGTGCTGCGCCCTAATCTGTTGCGCCACCAGGGAGGGCCCCTTTGTTTCTGTTTTAATGAAAGTTTCATTGGTATTTCACCAATTTTTATTTCCTAGTGCTTTATGCTATTTAGGGATGACTGCTAAAATTGTCGCATGTCTTTCTGTGAATTAATGATAAAAATAATACAACTTTTAAAAAAGATTTATTTATTTATGCATACAAGACTGGGGTACAGGCCAGAGGTGTGGAGGTAAGAGGATTCACCAGAAACAGAGTGGGGAGTAGAACAGGCAGATCCACTGAAATACACTGCTGAGGATAGCAGCAGGCAAGACAGGAAGGGTCTGCTGTGCCACTGTGTCACCTCCCTGATGGGGAACCAAACTTGTGCTGCAGTGACTGGAGATAGCTTCGCAGTGCTGTGCTTTAACCCATTGTGCCACCAAGGAGGGCCAGTCATATAACTTTTGATCTTCTAATTTATAAAAGTACTGAACTCTATGTATTTTCTGCACTGAATCATGCCTGCATTTCTGGAATAAATTTGACTCAATTGCTCTTTTAATCGCTTCCTTGATTAACTTACATTTTGCTTGCATAAATTGAGAATCTATATGTATAACAAAGACTGGTCCATATTTTTATTTCTTTGTGCTGTTTTTGCCTTATTTTGATATTAGGCTTAATGTAGCTCTGTAGATGAATTGGGAACACCTCCACCTGTTTCTCCTCACCCATCCTCTGCAAGAGTTTAAATAACATAAAATTAGCATGCTAGCTTTTCCTTGAAAGCTGTAGAATATGCTTACAAAATTATCTGGACTTGCTCATGTTTTTAGAGGTAGATCTGTGATCATCTTTCTCTATTTTGTGTGGTTATTAATGTACTGTTTTTCTTTCTTTTTTTAAGTCAATTTTTGAAGTAGTTTTTCCCTAGTAACTCACACATTTCTTCTGGATTGTCAATTTATTGGCAAGAAGTTGCACACAATATTTTCTTACAATTATTTAATTATTTCCCATAATCATGGGCATATTGCTTTACTGACTGCTGCTGTAAATTATTTAAACAAAGTAATAAAATTAACATTTTTCTTTTTTCTCCCCTAACCTGATAGTCAAAAATTCTAGTAATATATAGTAATGTCTTATAGAAAATAGTCATCTCAGACTCGTATTGTAAGATTATTGTAAGATGATACAGTTTTTATCTTTTCTTCCTGTCTAGCCTTACCCATTTAATACTTTATTAATAATAGCAACCACTTGACATTTATTGTGTGTTAGACATTTGATAATAAGATTTTTACTTACATTATTTAATACTCAAAGTGACCTCAGGATCTTTTAATTAGTGTTCCCATTTATGGATGGGGAAACTAAGTCTCAGAGAGCTTACATAACTCAGTAATATTCAGTTAGCAAACATGGTAATTAGGCTGACCAGATTCCCAAGTTTGTCCTTTTAATAATCACTTTGTTTCCAATAATTCTTTCTTATTATTTTCAAATATAATAGTTACCTTTGTGTTAAAATTAAGGCTGTAATTTAGTATGAAGGGTATAAATAAATCCAAAATAAACTGTAAATAATATATTTATTATAGTGACTTTTTAAAAAGGTATTTGTTTTTCAGATATTCATGTGAACTTGCCCCAACTTGTCTCACTATTTTAAGACTAGACATAGAGCCTGGTATTTCTAGGCTACCACGAAGTCACTCTCTCTTCTTCTTTTTTTTTTTTTTGGTAAATAGAGATGTAAATAGGGATCAATTAGTCACTCTACTTACTGATAAACAATAATATAACAAAATTTACCATCTTTGGTAACAAAATATAACAAAATTTACCATCTTACCCATTTTTGATTATAAAGTTAAGTACCATGAACAGAACTACAGAGAAGTCTCAAGACATACTAAATGGTGATTGATTTTTCTGAGCATTGTAGTGTGCTCACACTGTTATTATTTTGGGAAGTATTAAACACAGTGTTTAAACACATGGATTTTGGACCTAGACCTCCTAGGTTTGGTTTTCAGCTCAGCATTTACTACTTGAAAAACCTATTTAAACTTACTGTGCCACAATTTCCTTATTTGTAAAGCAGTTATTACAATGATATATACCTCTGAGGATTATTGAGGGGATAAATGTTTTAATATTATGGAATTATTTAGAAAAGTGTAGAGCCTACATCAGAAAAGCGTCTGACATAAAGCTCTCACTAAATGTTAGGGAGTAATATTATTATTTTAAATTAGTATAGACTATCATGTGGCTTTCCTTAAAAACCCTTGGAAATAAGATGAGTAGTATTCTGTTCTGTGAGTTAAGCTTTCAGATTACATGTGCCATGGACCATGAAAGATATGTAATGGCAGGTCAAAAGGTAGAATTAGCTTCCAACCCAGCAGGATTAGATTGTAGCTTGATGAGACATTAACATTTAAAGAAAATATATACTAGTCAGGATAGAAGGTGGCTGTAGAGGTTGTCTCTTAGAGTTTTAGCCCACAGGGGACAGGTGGTCTTGTCCATATCCCACCTGTTCATTCCTAGTGGCAGGTGTCTGTCCCTGCTGAGTAGCAGCATCTGATAGCAAAAAACATTTGAGTTACACAATGAACTCTTCTAATCTACAAAACAACTTTCTGATTACAATTTGGTTTCTCATATTTATCTACAGGGAGAAGTTATATGGGCTGAATGACTTAAATATCTAGTTAGTTGTAAGTCTCACTGGAAATCAGTACATTAGTTTTCTTCTTTCACATGTTAATCTGGAGAGTTTTAACTCAGGTCTGTGTCTGATTAATAAATCAATTTTCTCTGTATGAAGTAGGTAACTGAGCCTGAATGTTGAGTCACAAAGACAGTCCTCCTTTCTTCTACCTTCATCAGTTCTTAGTTATACCCCCTTGTTTTATATCACTACACCACTAAGGCTTTAAAATTCATTGGGTTCTAGTTTCCTTATTTGGGTTTTATGTATGTGTGGCAGCAGTGATAATTGTTCAATATCTCCACTGCCAGTTTCTGAGGAATGGGGAAACATCTCAACTTCTCTCGCTGAGTCTGTGGGCCTGTCTGACACTAGCAAGAATCCATTGTCTGCTGAGCAACAAGTGTTGTTTACTGCTGTGTAAGAGTTATCCTGTGGACTCACTGTTCTGCTAGATGCCATCTTAGGGAGGACAGAGGGCTGAAGAAAGCCTAAATGATGAGCTCGATCATGTCTCTTGTTTTACAGGTGGGAAACTAGAGACTACTTATAAGGGGCTATGTATCTTTATGTTTTCATACTAGTTTTCTTGTATAAGGTTTGGCTATAACCGTCTGGTCTTATGACCTGCCAGTAACATTCTTCCTGGTCCTACTCTTCCCTAATTGGTATACAAACTAAACTGCCAAAGGCATTTTTATTTTATTTTATTTTTTTTTTAGCTCTGGCAACATTTTCTCCTTGGTTATGTACCATTGATAACCAGATTTATATTTAAAATATAAGTTCATTGTAGATTTCAGAATATGTTTCAAACTGGATCTTCTGTGGCCTGATTGATATGGTCTTTTTGGCCACTTCAGAGAGATTTCATGACAACTAATTAGACCTATTTTTACAATTGTCATACATGCTGAATGTGTCTTTGGGGTTTGGTGTTTTTTTTTTTTTTCTTCAAATATAACTCTACATCCTACGTTGTACACTTATGATTTCAGGATCTAATAATAAACTTTAATTGTTTCAGTAATAATCACTATATGTCCACAATAAAATTCTTTCTTCTAATAATATAAAAGGATTTCAACTTGACAATAGAAATTTCTGTTAATTAAAAAAGAATTTAATCGCAATAGAAATTTCTACTCTAAACATTTTCTCCTCTATCACTTCCTTCTCCTCTTTCTCTATCTCCTCTTCCTTCTCGTTCTCCTTGAGTCTTACATGCTCTGTGTTACTGTTAACATATATCAACAACTTTAGTAGCATGTTATAGATCGATGTACATTTTTCATGGTGTGCATATGTACATGTTTACAAGAAGAAAGTGAGGCATTAAACATTAATTAAACATAAATGCTTTAATGTACATGATAAGAGCCAGGGAGCAGTCTTAGAAGTGTATTTTGAAGATTCTAAGAGAAGGTACAGATATGCCCTGGCAAAGAAGGGAGGGTCAGAAAAAAACAGGAAGTAAAACAAACATATTAATGCATTGGGGAGCTATATCAGAAAAAAGGGGGGTGGATGCTAACAACTAAAAACAGGCCCCATGGCAGGAGGATTGAGGCCCCATGACAGGAATGGAGAAGGTTGATTGTGGAGTAGTGACTGGGGAGGTTATTGAGCTGTACCTATATTCTGTTGGGGTACTGTATTAAATCCCATGAGAAAATCAAAGGCAGAGGCGAGTGGAGTGGGAGAGACAATGTTTGACTTGTAGGAACTTACAGTCTTGCTGATGAGACAAGGCAAATGGAAGCCAGAGAAGAAGCCAGGAAAGCCAGTAAGAGTAGCTTGGATTTGATGTAGCATGTGATGGAAGCAGCCTTCTGGAAATCTCATGTAGCATCCTTGTCTCTGTCCTCTGGTCTAGAAGAAGAGGTCTGAGCTGGGAAAGATCAAACTGAGTCTGTGGCGATGTTTCAAAAACCAGTTTTTGTAGCTATCAATTAGCAAAAGAGCTTTCCCTCCAAAAAACTATTTTGACTGCTTTAGAAAAAATGAGCTTTCTAAAATCTTCTGTCCAAGATTAATAATAAATGGAAAATCACTGGTTTGCTTTTGCAAACAGCACAGAATGTCAGTAACTTTAGGCAATTTTCCAATTTTACAGTAAGTTTTTATACCAAAACCCATTTGGGAAGCTATTTAGTCCATGGATATTTTCTGTGGAATGATGATGTGGGTAGACAGGAATAATGATTTTTTTTCACAGCAAAATATTAACTGAGTACTAATGACTCCATTTTGATAATATCACTCCAAAAATAAGGGAGTGAAGTAAAGATGCTTATAGAAACATTATGTTAAAAATAGCATAGCTTTATACAAGTTGAGATGGTAAATAGTTTAGGTTTTACCTCTAATATTTGCTTTAGTTTTTTCCTCCATGGAGTAGACCTGAGAGAGAAAGTTTTCAGATTTTTGTTGGCCAGTTAATAAGGGCTTGGTAGTTGTTTGGTCTCGTATTGCAGGAAGGTAGATTTTATTTTTTTCCTTTCTTCTTCTTTCTCTCATCTATACCTCTGCTTCTTGCGAACACTTCTGCGATTTCTACTCTCTCCATTTGCCTTCCAACACGAGGCCTTTCGAGATTCTTGGTTTCCTGGAAGGATAAGTGAGGCATATTTAAGTGCCTTACAATATTTCTGGGCTTATGTGGGTTTTGATCCACATGAATTGGTGGTAGGTCTCTGAACGGCACCAGCACAAAGATAACAGGAACCCTGAGGTCTGGCATCCCCTTGGGTTGTGATTGTCCACTTGTCACTTGCAATGACTGTCCAGGAAAGATATTGCTTATGGGGTAGCCCTCTAAAGCTATGTCAGCTTTTATATTTGGCTTATTTTGTGTCTGGGAAAGAACATCAGTGAAATAAGGTTTCACGCCTGTTATGGCATTGATTTCATATGCATTGTGCCTGTCAGCCAGTGCTCTCCCAGTCAAAATGGGCTGAAAAGCAGTTGATCCTGAGATCCCACTTACAAAGTTGTTGAGGAGAGAATGCCATATCCCACCACTTATTGGGCTCAAGGTGACCTGTGGCCATAGACTGGCCAAGCTCCGGAGAGCGTCACGGTTCCAGGCGGAGGCAGGAAATTCAGTGTCAGTATGATAGAGCTGAGAAAAGTAAATGCTGAGAGTGACATCCGGGTACATCCTCAAGAAGTTGTACATTTTGCTGATGCAGCAGTGGTTAGCTTCGTTACAAGGGGAGTTGTTAGAATACAGAATGATGTGGCTGATGCTCTTGAGGCTGTGGACGGTGGAGGTAAGATACCCACTCATCTCGAACAGCATCGATTCTGGGTGGGTATCATTCCCAGTGCAGCTGCTTGCATGGCCCTTTTGCACCAGGCTTCCAGAAGTAGTTTTCAGTTCATAAAATGTGAAGTGTTTTGTTTGTGGATACACTGGCCCATAAGGAAATCCAAAAATATGATAAAATTCTGTGTAGGGAATTCTGGCTTCTTCTCCGGTCCGAATATGGTAAGGACAGTTGGAGCAATCCAGAGAGAAGCTTAGCCAGTAGTAAGGTTTAACTATGGTTCCACGATCTGCTAGATATTCCTCAAATAATGGCTCCATTGCTAGTTTATTGTCTTCTAGCTTGAACCCTAAACAAGGGAGAATAATCATATATAATCAGTGTGGAAAAAGTAAAGGCAATGGATTAATTTACTGAGCCATAGTTTTCTTTAAAGGAGGTAGCACAGTAACAAGTAGTGCCTTTGATTCTGAAAGCTAGGTATAGCCATAGATTAGACAACCTAGGATTCATCTTTCTTTGTAAATATTCCTGGGAAATAGGGAGGACACAAAAGCAAAAGGGATTGTACATCGTTACCTGTTTCCTGGCTTCCGAGGCATTAGAGCTAATGGCTTTTATCAGTGTACTTTTAGAAACAGACTACTTTATTTCAGTTCTGAGCTCTGTCTCTTGCCAACTTAATGACTTGGGCAAATTATTTAATACCCGGAAGCCACAGCTTCCTTGCCTCTCAAATGGGGATCAGAATAGCACCTACCGCATGATATTATTTTGAGACTTGGATGATAGAATAAATAGGAAATGATTTATGATATTCCTGACATATATTAAGGGCTCAATAAATGAAAGCTCCTGGTAGTAATAGCATAAATCCTAGTGTTACCAGATGATCCTTGTTTATGAAAATACAAAGAAATAAGCAGGGTTTTTGCACTTTTCCCATAATGTTCTTCCTTTGTCTCTTCTTTGGGATGATAGAATCTAACATATCATGCAGAAGTATGTCTGCATTTAAAATCAGCTATTTTAAAAATTTTTGGCAATGAGTTGGAGGTGGCTTTCCTTTGGGGATAGGAACATGGAGTTTATTTTGCTTCATGGTAAAGACTTCTTGATACACCACTGGAATATCCTTTGGGTTGGGTATGAATGAATGAATGCATTGATAATTTGAGAGCTTTCTTTCCAACGAGTGCAGCTTATTAGAGCATTATTGAAACTTTACTCTGGAAAATGTGGTTCTTTAAGATATTTCAAATCAATAGTCTCTGGGAAGTTAGGCCCCCAAAGTTGAAATCACTAAAAATGATTTTTTCTTTAAAAAATATTCATTCAGTTGTCATTATTCTGTAGCAAACTATGGCATTATAATATAATTCTTAAATCATTAAAGAATAACTTTTTATTATGCAAGTATTAGATGTTTCTTGTATAATTTTTGGGGAAGATTTATTTATTTATGCATATAAGAACTGGGTGTAGGCCAAGGGGCAGGATGGGGTAAGAAAATTCACCAGAGAGAGAGTGGGGAGCAGAAGAGGTGGATTGACTGAGGGGAGCAGCAGGCAAGACTGGAGAGGTCTGCTGATGCTTCATAATGCTGAGACTTAACCCCTGTGCCACCAGGGAGGCCTTGTATAGTATTTTTTAAAATACTAGCACATAATGGCAAAAATACAATCTCAAACCAGTTTTTATAGTTTACCTACATTCCAGTCTTTTTGCTATACATGTATAGGTTTTATGCATGACATAAAATAGAATCATGCTTTATACTTTGCTTTTTTTACTTAGCATTGTCATGAGCATTTTCCCTATGTTATAAAAAATTCTCCCGTGAAACAGTATTCCTGGTTAGCTAACATTTTATTACTTACCTATAGGCATTCAGTTTCTTGCTGGTAATATTAATAACTTTAAAGAACATTTCTGTAAATAAATCATTTATATCTTTTATCCTTTTTTCTTTAATGCTTCTTTAATTGCTTCTCATTTGCCAATTTGAGAAGCAAGCATCAATATTTGCTGTTATAGTTTGCATCTTTCAGTTCCTAGTGGGAGTGCACACTTTTTCACATGTTTATTAGTCTGTAGTATTTATTGTCCGTGAAATATATTTGATCTTGTACCATTTTTTGTTTGAGGCTTTCCTTATTGATTTGCAGGAATTCTTAGTTATCAAAAATATTAACTGTCATATTTGCTGCAAATCTTATATCTGATTTATAGAAGTCTTTAATGGTACTGATACTTTTAAATGCACCAAAAATTGCATTTTATGTAGCTTAATTTTTACCTTTTGTCTTATTTTTTGCTATTGTGTATAGAAAAGCCTTCCCCATCAAAAAGCGATTAAGGATTCCCCCGTTTCCTTCTAGTATGTATGGTTTATTTGTATTTAGCTCTCTATCCAGGTAGCAAAACAGATAAAGTAGAAAATTTTAGGAGATGAATTTACCATAACAACAATCTTACCATGACAACATCTTTCACTGTCTTAAGATCTAATTTATCATTTCTTTTTTTTCTTTAAAGACTTACTTATGCATGCAGAAACTAGGGTACAAGCCAGAGGTGCAGGGGGTGAGAGTATTAACTAGAAACAGAGTGGGGAGCACAACAGGCCAATTGAAATACACTGCTGAAAGGAGCAGTGGGTCAGGAGAGGTCTGCTGTGCCATGTAGGTCACCTCCCTGGCCGGGGAGCGAACTTGTGCTACAGTTGCTGCGGATAGTTTCATAGTGCTGTGCTGTAACCTGTTGTACCGCTAGGGAGAACCCACTAGTTTATCATTTCTGAAGTATTTCTTACAGCTTCTCATAAAGAAGGACTCTGTGGTCAACTTCTGTCTTTCTCAACTCAGATTCCCTCAGTCATTGCTGTTTTTGATACAGTTTGATCTCCAAGCTGAAACTGGCAGAGTTACTTTGCTAATCCTACCCTGGGCAGAAAATATTTTAGGATTCTCCATCCAGCTGTAGAAGAAATATGACTCTACTCACTTCACCATTAGCTGAGTGACAACTATCTCTGCATAATTCTGGATACCCCATGTCCATAAAATTCCACATTTCTTCTAACATATACCTTTGCCTGTTCCTTCCTTAATGCTGTATTTTCCTGGTCTGATTGATTTTCTGCCCAAACCTTCCTAAATCTTGTTTATCTTGTCCTTGGGGGAGCTGAACTTTTGTCCTGGGGCCTTGGCCATAAACTGATACCCCGGAACTTGACACCAGTCTACTGGACTGTGGGCACTGGTTTCTCTCTGAATCTCCTCTTTCAACTTTACTCATCAGGCTGGGCCTCTGTGTTTATCAAAACTCATAACCAAGTCTCACACTCTTGAATATTATGCCTTGGGTGTGGACTGCTGTTGGGTGGGATATCTGACATCCAGGTAACTAATATTACAATGTCAGCTCACTCATAGAAAATTGACTGGTTAATTTGACTAAAATAATATGGAGGCAGTACCAAAAGCCCTTTTCTGATTTTACTTTGGGGGTGGTGGAATGAACTAAATATAATGGTCCCAGAATTATTGCCCTTTCAGGAAGAAAGGTTTTGTCACTTTCAAGCCAAAGGTAGTGTTGGAAACTCCCAAGTGCTTTCTAATCATTCCTTCCCTTATTCTCCCTCTCCTGTGGCTATCTTAACCATCATGATGCACTGTTACTATCTTTAAGGAGATTTTGGGGACTAGCAGCCTTCATACATAAAGGAGGGAGTGCTGGAGTCTCATTTTTGCTGATGGCTTCTTAACATCAACCAACTCTGGTTCCTGCTGGGGAAGTCTCCGCTTTTCTCAGGTGGCCTTTCTGGGATTGTTCTCTAATCACCCTCATTTGAAGGGGAAGAAGAAAAGAACATTTATCTCCTTTGAACCCTTCAGGAATTTAGGGTTAATGCCGTCTATCTTTCATTGAGCACAGACTACCCTGTATTACTAACTTTGGGTAGCTATCCCGAGCCGATATGCTGGCTAGCACCTAGCCCAGGAACCTTGATGGGCTCACTGTCCGATCAGCAACAGACTACGATTTGTTCGATGAGATCGTCTGTCCCTACTTGGGATCGTCTGCCTCTACTACGTAGTCCTTGTCCTTCTCCTGGGTTTGTGCCTGGGAAATGCATGTTACCCTCCAGGCAGTAGGTCTACTGGCATTATGGAGTACAGATCTGCAGAAACCAACTCCTCATCTCATTGTGAATGGCTCTGGCCCTGGACCCGAGCTGTGGGCAGACAGCCTTCCTTAGTTTAACACAAATGAACCACGCCATAAGGACAATCTGCTCTCTTTTCACCCGACTAGGATTCAGCAGTTACTGTTAAGCACGGTTTACATTGGAGTAATTGGAGAACGGAGTTTGCCCTTGCCAAGCTGTGCACAATCTGTTAGCAGCTAAAAGCAAATGTTAGCAGTTATAATTACCATCATTTTGTCTCCAGACTTGGATCACATTCCAGGTGTTCTAGGAGATGGTCCACTTCCTTTTCCCTCTTTAAAGTCCCAAGCCCTTTTTCAAGTACCTTCAGAGGATAATTGTACTATAAATATTCACCTTCTTTTGGAGGTCAGGACCCCTTCGCAGTTTGTGTCTATCAAATGGTTTGAATCTTGCTGTCCCAAATTAGAGAAATCTCGCTGAGGTGTGGCTGCCTCCAAGAACACTGTTGAATTGGTGCCATGGTAACGTTTTGCAAAGTAGCTACTGCTAGGATACGACTCTGACACTTATTACTTTATTTGCATTTCAAACCACCAGTTCCAAAGATGAAAATATACATGAATGCATATTTCAGTCTGGATAAAAGCGTAATATCAGACTGTTTCACAGAATGTATTGGTTTTTTTCTCCCTCTAGCTGTAAGAATCAAATTCTCTGGTCACGATCCTCAATGCCATTGTTCTGTTCTAGAATAGGTGCCAAACTTGGTGTGTGGACAAGATTTGTTGGTCTGTTGCCTGTGGAGTCCTCTCCTTGGAAGGTCACCCGCTCATGAGAGGGACAATGATGTGATTTCCCTCAGTTCCAGGAGGGGGAGCTGTTTATCATGTCTAATCTTGGGCTATTATGTCCTAGTGCTTTCCTTCCTCTTAGAAATTTCCTAGGCTGAGGAGACTCTAGTTATTGATATGATGTGTTCCCTCTGGTTTAAGTCGCTCATTATCCCTGTCTCATGGCAGCCTTTCTCTCTTGGCCACTCATCCTCTTCCATTCTTCTTCTGCCCTTTTTCTTCTCCGAGGTCCTCTGATATGTTTGTCATCATAATTCATCACATTCACTTTATTCCCTCTTCTTCCTCAGGC